GAAACGTTTCTTTTTAACAAAAAAACGAAGTCCAGATGACATGATTCAACCTTTTTTGTTGTAATTATTAACCACGTTAAATTTGTCTTTCTGGTCACCTGGTCACTAGGTTATCAGGTCACAGTGTGTGCTGTGTAACTTGGCCGCCTCTCGTTCAGTCAATAGAAGACTTTGGAATATAAAGTATAATCGATACAGCTGAGAGAACACGTTTAGATAAGCACTGAAATGGAAAATCACCGTAAAAAGACAATCGAATAGTATTTATTGTTTTAATAAAATAAGCATGTGTTGCTGAGAAACACTTAGTTGGCAGTTGTTGAAACTGAACTTTAAACACTTGTTTAAAAAGATTCAGTGCCACGCAGTGTAAATTAAAGATTCAAATTGTAAAAGGCCAATTGCTATCTTGTGCATGCGCGTGATTTCATCTGTGCACATGCTAACCCTCCCATTGTTTTTAATGTCTGGTACTAATAAAACAATGTTGGTACGGGTCTGTGCTCAACTCTAGGCTTCAAAATGGCTCCCTAAGCGTCCAGGTGGCATTGTGGTTTATACATCTGCCAACCAAAATTGATTATGTGTTAAGATGGAAGAACGTAAACAATGAAACAGACCTCAGATCCTAATTAGTATCAGTTTATATGACAGTGAAAACATGAGCGCATGGTTTCTAAAGCTTGAAAATTGTCCTTTAAATAGTGCATAGGAGCATAAAATTCTGTGGTTAAACATTAAATGAGTATTCTCAGCTCTGCAGCAGAGGAATGTGTGCTTGAAGTCTAGACACTGTTTAAACTAGAAACCAATTGGAAAAGCCAAACTTGTGATTCATGGATAAAGTATAGCTAATCGTAGGCTGTTGTAGTGAAATGATGTCATGTATTTTTTCTGGTGTTTTGTGTACACAGAACGAGCTTAGATAAATATGAACAATTGTAGCATATTTTTAATTAGCTTTATGCTGTGCTAAAGTGCTAATGCTAACCCACTGCTGATCAGAAAGTATTAAAATAATTTTCCTTCAATTATTATTAGGGTTTTTTTTTTTTTTTAATCTTTGTAAAGTCCACATAATTTGTGCCCACATAAATCAGGCTGTGGAAGTCTGAGTGTCAGCATGGCTGTAGATGGTTGACTGGCCTCTGCCTGTGTACCCATAAGGCTTTGGCTTTTGTTGTCCCATGTCAGGCAGGTGGTAGTGTTCTGCTGCAGCCTCATGGGCACGGCGTGGCCGATGTGCTGCCTGCCATTCAAAAGATAGCCAGAGATATAGTGGGGGAGAGGAAAACAGAGAGAGGATGTGAGGTTTTGTATGAAGGAGGTAAGTGCATGTCACTTCCTTTCCAGCTTACATCCTCTTCCTGTAGAAGTGGTTGCCGTGCCAATTAATGGTATGGCTAACGATGTGGCTGATTTTGAAGTTGTCCTGTTTCTTTGTTTCTCCTTTTTTTTTTTTTTTTTTGTATGACTATGGTGTGAAGTGGATGTGCATTTAGCAGATGCATTACATTTACACGCCTTTATTATTTGCTTCATGAACACGGCAAACTGTTCTGCTTTGATGTTATGGTTTATCTAAGATATTTTCTCAAGTTAAGGCCACTGCACTTTTAATTGTTCAACTAATCAGGGTTTGGAATAAGATCCGGATTCGTTGAAATGAATGTTTTGGTTCTTGGCTTGCACTACTGACATGGCACTAAGTAAGAAAAATATTAAGTGAGACTTGAGATTTTCTTTTTGTGCTGTAGGTACTTTGCCAGCTTCAGTATTTAGACTACAAATGCTTTTTTTATGTACAGGTGCTGGTCATAAAATTTGAATATCATGAAAAAGTTGATTTATTTCAGTAATTCCATTCAAAAAGAAAAACCTGTATATTATATTCATTCATTACACACACACTGATACATTTCAAATGTTTATTTCTTTTAATGTTGATGATTATAACTGACAACTAATGAAAACCCCAAATTCAGTATCTCAGAAAATTAGAATATTGCAAAAAGGTTCAATATTGAAGACACCTGATGCCACACTCTAATCAGCTAATTAACTCAGAACACCTGAAATGCTTTAAATGGTTTCTCTGTGTAGTTCTGTAGGCTACACAATCATGGGGAAGACTGCTGACTTGACAGACTTGTCCAAAAGACGACCATTGACACCTTGCACAAGGAAGGCAAGCCATAAAAGGTCATTGCTAAAGAGTCTGGCTGTTCACAGAGCTCTGTGTCCAAGCACATAATAGAGAGGCAAAGGGAAGGAAATATATGGTAGAAAAAAAGTGTACAAGCAATAGGGATAACTGCACCCTGGAGAGGATTGTGAAACAAAACCCATTCCAAAATGTGGAGGAGATTCACAAAGAATGGACTGCAGCTAGGGTCAGTGCTTCAAGAACCACCACGCACAGATGTATGCAAGACATGGGTTTCAGCTGTTGCATTCCTTGTGTCAAGCCACTCTTGAACAAGAGACACCGTCAGAAGCATCTCGCCTGGGGCTGCTGCTGAGTGGTCCAAAGTTATGTTCTCTGATGAAAGTCAATTTTGCATTCCCTTTGGAAATCAAGGTCCCAGAGTCTGGAGGAAGAGAGGAGAGGCACAGAATCCATGTTACTTGAGGTCCAGTGTCAAGTTTCCACAGTCAGTGATGGTTTGTGGTGCTATATCTGCGGGTGTTGGTCCACTGTGTTTTCTGTGGTCCAAGGTCAACGCAGCCGTCTGCGGGTGTTGGTCCACTGTGTTTTTTGAGGTCCAAGGTCAACGCAGCCACCTACAAGGAAGTTTTGGAGCACTTCATGCTTCCTGCTGCTGACCAACTTTATGGAGATGCAGATTTCAGTTTCCAACAGGACTTGGCACCTGCACACAATGCCAAAGCTAGCAGTACCTGGTTTAAGGACCATGGTATCCCTGCTCTTAATTGGCCAGAAAACTCGCCTGATCTTAACCCCATAGAAAATCTATGAAGTATTGTGAAGAGGAAGATGCAATACGCCAGACCCAACAATTCAGAAGAGCTGAAGGCCACTATCAGAGCAACCTGGGCTCTCATAACACCTGAGCAGTGCCACAGACTGATCGACTCCATGCCACGCTGCATTACTGCAGTCATGCAGGCAAAAGGAGCCCCAACTAAGTATTGATGATGTACATGCTTGTACTTTTCATGTTCAGACTTTTCGGTTGGTCAACATTTCTAAAAAAAAAAATTTTTATTTTTTTATTTTTTTTATTACTACTCTCAAGTAATATTCTAATTTTCTGAGATACTGAATTTGGGGTTTTCATTATTGTCAGTTATAATCATCAACATAAAAAACCTAACATTTGAAATATATTGTTCTGTGTGTAATGAATGAATATAATATACAAGTTTCACTTTTTGAATGGAATTACTGAAATAAACTTTTTCATGATATTCTAATTGTATGACCAGCACCTGTATACGGTAGTTATTTTGCATTATTTATAGTGTTTCATTTTAATTTGTAGCTTTACAAGTATGGATAAATTCCACCCGATCCTCATTCTCATGAAAAGAATTGCTGTGATCTTCTGAGAGGGTAACGGGATGAAAATGGGTTCTCGTCCATTCTCAAGAGGGAGTTGAGGCAGTAGAAAGATTTGCTTGCAATTTAGGGCATAAGCTGAATCGGTGTATGTGCTGCAAAACAAACATCAAATTTCAAGTTTAACTTGACCATCTGGCTTCTCTGTTTTATGATGTAACACTGCGCTGCATGGTGAATTCCAGGGACGATCAGAACAATGTTTATCCTCACTTTCCTTCATCTTTTCTGCCTTTTCATGCATGGCGTAAGGCGCAAAACCCCTTGGACATGCATGCGTGCACATGCCTCTGTTCTATCGGTGTTTGTGTCTAACGTGATAATGTTGGGCTGGGATCATTGTTGATGGTCTGTTGGTTTTCCATTGTTTCTCTGACTGGATCAGTACATTTAGACCACCTGAGCTTTACCTTCTGCAGGTTTTGAAATCAATATAAAAAAAATGAAGGTATGTGCAAGAACTCTTTAGATAGTGAATTATAATAATCAAATCAGTATATTGACAAACTGCCATCAACAGCTAAGTGTTTGTTGTAATTTTTGTGTGTATTTTTCCTCAAATTTATTTTCTTGAAAACTTTCATTTCTTTAAATGGATTTATAATTTCAACATGTTACAAATCAAAAGATCACAGTAACACTTTTCTTAAAATACTCCTCAAAATGGAAAACAAAACCTATTTTCTGGCACTGCTGCATACAAGGCTGTTTGAAGGGGGTTTGATCTAATCCAGTCCCGGTGGAAAAGCACAACATCAGAGGTTTTGTGTCCTGCCCAGACGTCTCTTGTCTCTCCTTCCTTTTTTTTGTTTTGTTTTTTTGTTTTGCTCTTGTTGGATTTGTCCTCCTTTCAGATGGCTGGTAGCCATGCTGCTCTCCCTGTGTAGCCTTGCCCTGTGGTGGATTGTGTATGGCTTCCCTTCTTCCATCCTGCATTTCTGTATAGACGGGTTAGGATTTCACTGAGTTCTGCTGCCCGTCAGCCCCCTCAAAAAACCTGTCCTGCCCCTCCTTCTGGAACTAACTGAGAATGCTGTAAGTGAGCCCCTGGTCTCTCCTTTTTTTTTATTCCCAATCTAAATTAGAAACTTGTTCAAAATGTATCATTTGTGTCAGTATAACAAGCTTAAAGATGATGAGCAGAGACAGATTTTAGAAATCTCAACTTGTCTTTATCACCATTTTCTGTACGTGATTTTATACCACGACACTGATCATCCTGCCATTCCTAAACTCCATGCTCGGCTAGTTGTGTTTTCTTGGGAGTTGTGACTCAAACTGCTCAACAGTAAAGTCTTGTTAAATAATGCCCCTCTCTGGCTTGATCTGGTGCTGTAGTTGGCTGTACTAACCCAACCTGGATGCTTAATGCAGTACTAATTTAACAACATATCTTTCTGCCTATTTCTTTAGTCTTTTCCTACTCTCTTCTCTTTCTATACATGAGCTTTGTAAATTTAAGTCATGTTATTGTGTCTTTACAGACAGGAAGAGAATAAAATACACACTCGGTCGTCGTCGCAGTCCCCTAGGTAAAATGTGCTCACAGGATGAAGACATTCAGACTAATTTTAAAACATGGCATAAACTAATAGATGTTCATCTCGTCTGCAGCAAGGTCATCATTCAGACCGATGTGCAGGGTGGCAAGACCGGCGTCGGATCGCTAGCTCTGTCTGACCCCTCAGAGAGCAGGAAGAGGACCAGAACCTCGCTGCCAGCTAATGGAGTAGGAGGAAGGTCAGTGAGTCAATTTAACACAAGCGCACTCTCAAATAACAAATCAGGATGGAAGACACCTTTTAAGTGTGTACATCAGATGCATTTCATTGCTGACAGCTCGTTTAACAGCTAACAATAATTTAGATTATCCTTGTTTACTACTTTATGGAAGCAAGCGTGCTGGTTGTTTTGAATGGGTTTTATGTGGTATTGACACACAGCTGAAAAGCAGTCAAGAGGCTAAAGCCACTCATAGTTCCTTTGTGGGGTAAATTAACAGCTTCCCTTCTCTCTGCCAGCTCCCTGTGCCAAACCAGACTGGTCAGATCTCTAGGCAACTTGCATGTCGTGACTGGCAGCAGTGATCCAATGTGTTGTGAGCCATGTGGCAGCCATAGAGACAAAGGCCCCCTCATCAACTTTAACACAACATGGGGCCACCTGCAGGCAAGCTCCTTTAGACACACACCGAGACAGAACTTGGGACTGCATTTACAAAAAGAGAGGACAAACACTTGATATTTTTTTAAAAAGCAGGAATGGTTGGGTTCCTCCATTCAAAATTTCATTTATGGTGTAACAGAGTAAAAAATGAAAAGGCGTGTTATCTTTCAACATCAAAGAAGAAGATTAAGAAGAAATAATTAATGACAGGAGGGGCACGTGCCGAAGTTGCACTTAAAACTTTTAACATGTTTACAGTGCAAATGTAAATTTAAAATTTTTTAAAATACTGATCTCCCATACATTTTATCTTTATGAAAATACAACTTACAAACACAACCTTGTCAAAAACAACTTCTAATGTGATTGTTAAAAATACTGACAACTAAAACATAGAATAGACTACAAAAAAAACTTGAATAGGGACTATATGCAAAACACCGCAAAAATTTCTCTGTCATTTGCAAGAATAAAGTTCTAGATCAGAGGTTTGCAACGTTTATGATCAAAAGAGCCATTTTTACACTTCATTCACTAAATTAAGTGTTCAGAGCTGCAACAACCTGCTACAACTGTGATTATCAACTAGTGGCCCATGAGCCACTTCAGTTTTGTTGGAGACGACTTGTGGCCACTGGCCAGTAGGGGTGACAAAGCTAAAATATGATTATTATTTTTTTATATCTATCTATATCTACATCTATATAGACAGACTTTTACAATGTAATACATGAAAAGATCAGATTCTTGTACAGAGGGGGAAAATAGTTTTTAAATAAAAAAAATCTCATGAACTACAGACCTATGTATTATTTATTTATTGTGGAAACAAGTATTGAAATAAAGCAAAAGTCAAAGCGAGTATTTGCAAAAGAAAACAGCTAAAACTAGTACTTTTGTTGTTGTTTGTAGAACCACCAATACAATTCAGTTTGATGGTAGTTTTGGTCAAAGCTTGAAAGAGCTGCAGGTTGCAGACCCGTCCTAGATGCCTACAAGGCTTAGCTTCTACTAAAGTATTTTATAAGCAGTGACATGTACACAAAATATACATTTTTTTTAATTTGGTCATACCTTATTTACTTAGCTGTTAATTTTAAACAGAAATTTTGATCCGAGGTGCCAAACTATTTTAATTATTTGGGTTTTAGCAGCCATGGGATCCTTCGAGTCAAATTCTCATGTAAATTCCGTCTAAGGTTTTGAGGCTCAGTGTGCTCAGTCTCCCTTATATTTCCATACACAACATCTGTATATTGTCGCATAGTTTCCAGTCTCAACTTATTAGGATGCTGTGTTCTTACCTTGAACTGCCTCAGTCTCTGCTCCTTTTTTCTTGCTGGTCCTTCAACAGCATCTTCTGGAGTATGACTGGCTTATAGCTCTTCTGGATCCTGCTGCTCACTGTGTGATCTGCCTTTGGACACCACTCTAGTGTTTCGGGCGTTCTTTATGTGTACTCGTCTGTAATGCTCAAATCTTTCCATCTTTATTTCTTACATGCAACAGATGCACTGTCTCCCGAGGACGTAAAGCTCGCAGCTCTTTACAATCAATTAGATTTTCCAGATTATGGTATCTATACCTTTTCACTTTAACATTTACCGTTTGAAAAAAAAAAAATATCATTTTGCTTCTTAAAAATTGTGGGAAACATAGCAATTACATGCAGAGCAAATTCACAGCGTCACTGATTTTTGTTTTTGTTTGTTTCCCCTTTTTTCCAGTCACTCCATACCCAAAGCTAGAGCTCCTCTCCTTCGATAAGCTTGTGGATCTGGGAATTCTGACGTCATCCAACGTGTTCAGATATACAACTCATTTTTATCAATTCTTTTTTAAAAGGCCAGCACAAATCTTAACCAAGTCACTAAAAGTGGATTTTATATTTTTCAACTCTGCATCATGAAATGAACTGTTTGAATCTAGTTTTGTACTTTGTGACGCATGCAGTAGCAAACGTCAGATTAAACTACTAACATGTAATGTTTAAAAATCAAGAGATTCTAAGAAGTGCAAACATTTAGATTTTAGCTTTAATGGGTTTTTAAAAAAAGAAATCTATAGCTGGAGCTGGTCTAGAATTTGAAGTACCGGTAAAAATGTACTTTATGCCCCATTTGCAAGAGGAGCAACAGTGGGAGCCCTTTAAATATGTATTAAAAATAATGTGTGCACTTGTACTGCCATGCAATATCCTATTTGTACTATTCATTTATCGTTTCAGCTTCAGTACTTTAAAGCTGTTCATATGTAAACATTATACAAAGTTTGTATTTTGTAAATATTTTGTACTGTTAAAATCATGCCATAAAAACAGTCCTTACAGGGTTCTGTTTAACTTTGTTGATAATCCAAAAGATTTTTTTTTATATAAACTTGCACTTAAAATCATTGACTTGTGGTTTTACATGCTTTTCGGTGCTGAAAAATATGGAGTTATATTGATCAAGATGAAATTGCCAACCAGAAATCTTTGGTTTAGGATGAGATATTTCCCTAGTCACCAAACTACCTTGCAAAAAGCCTTTATTATTGAACAGTGCATGCAATACAACAGAAACTCAAACTGAAACGTGAACCATTTGAAGTAGAAGGTGAGTGTATCCATTACTTTCCTGCTGACAGTGCAGGGAAGTCTTCTGGATCATCTGGATTAGGTGCCAGATCTTCCTCCTAATCAGAAAACAATCAGAACGCATTGATGTTCCCGAAAAAAAAAATGCCAATAGGCAATAATGCATCATTCTGCTATAGCAGAACTATTGATTGCACCACTTTTTTCTGGATAACACATTAAGTACTAGTCAGAGGTCTGTGGAAGTTAACATACCTTGTCAAATGTGGGCTTGGCTCTCTCGGAGCAAAAGTTTTGACCACCCCGTGCTCCCCTTCCTCTGCCTCCTCGGCTTGGGCGTCCAAGATTCCCAAAATTGATGTCCAAGCGGGTGGTGATGTCATTCACAGACCTACGGAGGAAGTTCCCGTCGTCCTCCATCTCCACAATCTCCTTAGAGTTCTGAAAATATGAAGCGAGTGCCAGTTATAGACCAGTGCTTAAATATTTTGGCATTGAAAACCATTCAAAATATACAAATATTTATAAAATAAATCATATTAGGTGGCATGTGATCTATAGGCTCCATTTACCGGTAATTTATCAGGTTGGCATCTAAAATGATAATACCCCATTAATGGCAACAGACACGCAGAATTGGTTGAACGTAAATCAGAAAATAAAGAAAACGTTCAGATAAAAAATGCACATTAAAGTAACTTGTATAAAGCATTTACCGGTAGTATTCACACAATCTTGCAACTCTTTGTTGAACCGTGAACCCCCAAACATTTAGAGTTTCAACAAACACCTTCTGTGGAAACCCCAGTTAGATAAGATATGGATGCTCACCTACAGTTATCACTGTTCATTTTCTAAGACTTGTTTCCACCCCATCCATTTTTCCGTTGCCAAGTTACGTACTCAAAGTAATTTGCAATGCATTGTGGTCTTGATAGATTCATGCCTACGTCCGATTCTTTAACATCCAATTCATATTTTGTCATTTGTGTATATTTGTTCCCATCACAGACTGGCCTCCTTGTCCAATGAGAAATTCTTACATTTGACGTCTCTGCTTTGCGCCAACTTATTGCATTGATCCTGTGGCAGTCATTTGACACCTGGCAACGTTGCACTTTGAGGACATTTTGTTCTCAATGTAAATTGCCGATAAAATTTTATAGATATGTTTGTATACAAGTCAATTTTTAAAAAGCAAGAGGAAAAAAAGGACCAAAAAACTAGAGTTAAATGTAGACCTTGAATACAGGGAGTAACTATGAATGCACTTCTGGCATGGTGTCTATAGAGTTTATACATGTAACTAGGGGTGTACCGATAAATCGGCCCCGATTTCCTTAATTTGGGGAAATCAGCAGATACTTGCATGAGAAACCGATTTAACAGATTTTTTTTTTTTTAGTTTTAACAACACTCGTCTAAACTTCATTTATATTTCAGAGCACTACCTCATGGCCAATTAAAAAAAAAAAGTGTATCGTTTCTAGTATATTGTTCAAGGGTATTATTTTCAATAAAATAACACTGAAAATTGAAGGTGCATTGTGACCTTATAACACCTGACAGTGTTGCTTAAAAAAAATAAATCTGTATCGGCCAAAATCGGAATTGGCAGGTCACACTTTTTAGAAAATCGTGATCGACCAGAAAATGCAATCGGTGCACCCCTAGTAGTAAGTGAAAAGGTCCATTTTCTGCCTCTTGTCTGTCATCTCAATTCCCAGCAACACTTTCCAGCTCAGCTCCAGGGGTAACCCAAGGTGCTCAGAGGTTGGAGCAGATGCATAATCCCTCCAGTCAGTCCACCCCAGTATTACATTTGAATATGAATTAAAACACCAGTAAGTATAACAAAATTTCCCAGTAGTAGATTTTCACGTCCCTCGTGACCCATTCTAGAAAATTGGTTAGCTTGGTTTTCAGATTATGGTACAGTTCATCCCTTATTCTCCAGTGAAATCTGACCACGGTCTACAGACTAGTCATTCCCTTACACAGCTACATCTACTCGCCCAACTATCTTTAAGCCATATTTGTAAATAATTTCAGGCTCTTTCTGTGTATTTAAAAAAAAAAAAAAGTCCCTCGTGAGATGCGATTTGCAACATTCATTTAAATTCCACTTACCTCCAGATATTTAGACTGGTGGATGACCTTTGCTTTGGAAGGGATCTTGTCTTGCGCTTTGCGGATATTAAACTCCGCTTTGGAACGACTCATCTCCTGGATAGACTTCCACTCATCCAGGGTCATCTCCATGGCAACCTGGACCACCATCTCATTGTCCTCGTCCGTCACTCTAAATCATTAACAGAGATGGCAAAATGTATTGCAGTACTGGCACGCATTGCATTTTCACGTCATTCGTTTCCTTTTTTTTTTTTTTTTTTTACGTATTAATTTTCAAGAACACGTTCACGGAAAACTCACTGATTTGGATTCTCCTCCAAAGGCATTTGGGGCTCCTCGGATTTGACAGCAGCATCAGACGTCTCCATCAGCTCACTTCAGAAATCAAACAAACTTATCATTGTATTGAAGTAAACAAGTTGTCACTTCCACGCTGAAGTTGGCGGACCTTGCAGCTTCCCCAACAGAGCCCCAGTTCCACGGTCCTCTTCCTCCTCTCTTTTCCTCTGTAGAGATACCCCTGAAATTATTACATTATAACTGATTATCCACATCAAGAAAAGCTTTTAAAATCCATACTTGGACAAAGACGCTTACGTTCCATCGTGCCGATCATACTCTCTCTTGCCTCGCTGGTAAAAGTTGTCAGAGTTCCTTGTGTGTCCCCCACCTCTTGTTCCTCTTCTACCTCTGATCCCCCCTCTGCCACCGAAGTCCGAGTCATCATAGGAGGACCTGGCAGTCAGAGAAATACAAATTACAGTAACTATTTTATAAATTTAAACCCTACTGCCAAGAAAACTTTCAAACGCTGATGGGGAAAACTGTCACGGCTGCCTAAAAACTAAAGCACATGCAATATATACATATGTACAAGTAAATGTACATGCTGCAATTATTAAAAACAAACTAGGCACAAAAACAGTGAAATTATGGAGTACAATACAGTAGTTCCTCGTTTAGTGCGGGTCTTTCGTACCATGTCCCCCCCACGATAAGTGAAAAACCGCAAGTAGGGAGACAGTAGTCCAAGTACGGTAAACTTTGTCATGTTTGCAGGTAGGGGTGTAAATCACCAGCTTTACCACAATATGAGATATTGATTTGTTTGTATGACGATACGATTTTTCTCGATCACAAAGTCCGTCACGATACGATTTTGATTCGATTCAGTTCACGTCTGCGATCGATATATTGAGATATCAAAAATACATTTGCAAGAACAATTCAGAAATGATTTAACCATTTCATTTCTGTTATTACAGGCACTTAAATAAGAAAACGTTTTTTCTTAAGGAAAAAATAAAAATAAAGGACCTGTTCAGTATCGTCTCACATTTCTCATGTTTAAGTGCATTTTTTTTAAACCAGTTAACTTAAGTGTCCTGTTACCTTTTAGTTATAAAGAAAAAATAGATCTTGAGCTTACGTAACATTTCTGTCAATGCCGTGTTTCTTCTTCAGGTGAACGGACAAATTTGTTGCATTTCCCCGAGTATTTTAACTCACACAGTCACCTGTTGTATACGTCATGAGTTTTGTCTGTTGAGCCGTCCTCCTGTTGGAATCTAAAATATTTCCACAGTTTTGATTTAAATCCAGCAGGAGTGTGAATTTCATTATCTGCGTTTTCTGCCTCGTCTGCCATGTTGCTGAGACGGCCGCAGAGCGCAGCCGCGCACGGAAATGGTGACAGACGTTCCTCGGGAATTTCAAAATAAAAGCGTATTTTAAAGAGGACATGAATCTGTTTACTGATTCAATTATATTGTGGCAAAATTAATCATTTAATCAATATATCAATGTAAAATTGATGCATGTTACACCTTTATTTGCATGTGCCGGTAAATGTGTCAGGATGCAATCGCACTCATCGCCTGTTACTCCAAATCTCCCACCTTGTGTAAATAAATTAAAAAATTTTTTTTTAAATACTTTTATATTTTAAGTTAACAATCCATGCAGCATGGATTATTTATTTAAAATGTTACAGTACTTGAATTTAAATTGTAGAGAAGGGTAGCAGTTCTGCTGCACGGAGCAGAAATGTACTTCTTGATCAATTGCACTGAAACAACTGAACATGGTAGTTCTAAAATAATTTAAAATAACCCAACACATATTTTGTGATTATGATGATTTTATGACACGATATACTTTGAATTATAAAATGGAAGACAAAAGTCTATCGGTGCATTTGGACAGCAAAGGGTTAACCCTTCACAAAGCCGATACAGCACGAGAAGTGTGTGGCAGAGAGTGGAGATCATGACAGGCTGCAGGAGGGAGCTTCCCCCTGCACATGTGGGCTGCACACAGGTGCAAAAACACTTTATTTTAAATAAACAATCCACGGCTCATCCATCAGCCAATTGTGTCATGTCCAATCTTACTTGGAAAAACCGCAATATAGTGAATCCGCGAACCATGAAGTAGCGAGGGACTACTGTATATAATTTTGTAAAATCTTGATATAAACGTCACATCATGAGGTTAAGGGTTCAAAGGGGATTAAAATGCAATGCAAGTCAACAGTTTTTTCTAGATTCACAGCAAATTTTGAACGCTCAGATTATCGAAATCCGTTAATGACAAGCAGTAAATTATAAAAAGACATTTATCTAAGATTAATGATAAGCGAACACTTAAGTCAACACAGCCTTCACATTTGCAAATCGGTTCACAAACAACCCAACATCCCCTTTATCCACAGCAGCAGCATGGCAACAGCTTTTTCACAACTCAAACTCATCTGTTCAAGTTAAGCTTACTTGCTCTAATTGGCCATTTCTTTGCAATTTGATTTTTCGTTCAGCGCTTTTTGGTTGCGATTTTGTACTTTATCGTTTTTATTTTTGTAAAGGTGTCGTACATGATGCTTTAACATTTGCATCACTTGTATTACATAATGTAGTACCCTAACTCATCCATCTTAATATTAACAAAATAAATAACTAAAAATAATTTTATTGTAAAATGTTAAACTACTTGATTTAACTTGCTTCATTGTTTGTATCCCAATTGAGTAGTGACCTTGGAAGATGACAAAAAAGAATTATAAAGTGCTACTATACAGAAAAACATTTCTTTCCAGAACACAGACGAAAGAAACTTGACTAAATGCAGTAAAACAAACTTCTTTATATGCACACAGCTTAATCATTGGAGCAGAATTCTCCACCATACATACTTGGGGACAGAGAACTCCAGAGGTGGCTCGTCCTGGTTGGCTCTTCGTTGGCCGGCAGCAGCTCTTCTCGTGTTCCTCGGGGCCTCATATCTTCCATCTCTCTCAATCACTGCCTGCTGCTTGTTCACTGAGGACACAATGCAAGTTAATGCATCCCCACCTTGAATTACTTTTATTTTATTTTTTAAGAGAACTAACCAGTCAATTTAAGAAGGATTTATTCAATGTGCTTGCCAGGAAAAAGACAAAGAGGAGATATATGGATGAAGAGAGGACATGGAGGTGAAGACGGAGGAAGATGGAGAAGGGTGACTCAAGGAAAAGATGAAAATAAGCTTCTTTATTTTTTTTGCAATACTTTGTAAAGCCATATCTAGACTTTTTTTTCTACTTTTGAACACTTAAATCCCCGTTTGCTCTATTAAACCCACCTTTAGGTCAAATAAATGTTTTTCTAACACTTAAGACATTAAACTGTTTTTTCCCTGAATGGTTGGTATTCGACAGGAAAGTTGGTTTGTTCACATCCAGTCTGCTCCTGCAGAGAAACGCACGTGCTGACTCTGCATCATCAGCAGCTGACTCAGTCCAGAACCTCCTGCACCGACTGGGTCGCAGTGATGGACTCGGTCCAGCTCACCTGGAACCGGGTTCTGGACCTCCGAAGCGACCGGGGCTCGTCTGTTCCGCTGGGACTCCTTCAGGCCGGGCTTCTTCTGCTGCCTGCTCCTCCTCTCCTCCTCCTCCTCCTCCTTCTGCTGCTGCTTCTTCTTCTTCCTTCTCTCCTTCTCCAGCTCCACCTCGCTCATCAGGTCGAACGGATCGGCTGCGTCGTCGTCCAGGAGGTCCCCGAACCTGTTCGCCACGACGCACCCGAAGGCGTCCTGCAGCATTTTTCACCTGCCTGTGAGGGACACGAGAACCGTTCACGAGCTGCGGACATGAAACACGCTGCGAACAGCAAGGCCCGAACTGAACACGGCTCCGTTTGGCTGCACGGATTACAGAGCTGTGCGTCCGCGGGTTTTAAACGTTTGCACGTGCGCACGCCACAACACGCCCACGTGCTCGTTAATAGGCGGATCGATTCGCGTTGCACGAGCTTGGCTCAAGCTGCTTCGTCAAAACTGGAAAGTTGAACAAAAAGAGTAAAAGGGCGTTTTTAAATTGAGTTATTAAGAAGAACAAATGTCTTTTTCTCTTGTTCGAGTCCCCGAGGCTCAATGGGATTAACCTGTATAAATAAAAGTTGAATGGAAAAAAAACAACCAAGCTTCTGAAAAAAACTTTAGCCATGGCATGCCCAAACTCAGGGCCCGGGTGGGACTCTGGAGTTTCATGCCTCAGACTGACCCACTTTAGATCATGATCTAAAATCATGTAAACTTACATCAGGGGCGATTCTAGACTATTCCCTTTTAGGGGTGCTCCGCCCCCAGTGCTGACAATATGCTCTTGACTTGATGTGTGTGGGGGGGGGGGGGGGGGGGGG